GTTTTTCTGTAGGCAAATTTAGCATTAATTAAATTCAAAATCTAGATTTTCAACGAATATTATATTATTCAGTATGATAGCGCAGTAAATTCAAACTGCTGTGTTTTAAACATTTTTAGTTAAAAAACCAGTTTTTAGACAGATAAGTGATAGTTTACAATTGAGTTTAAGCCGCATGTGGGATATTGCATTTACACAAGAAAACAACTGGGAACAAACAAAAGTTAAAGAAGTTTTTTATAATTCAAGGTTTCCCTGTAAATTCATTTATTTATTTTAAGTAAATTTTTTGATTTCTTTTATCTGTCTCTCTGTTTATATTGTATATTTTTTTTGTCTATATGTCTGATGTTTCAGAATAATAAGCTTAATAGATAGATAGATAGTGCAGAGAAAAGAATAGTTGTCATAATTGTGACATGATGACAACATGGAAATGAAACAATAAATAAATAAGATATTTATTCAGCATGATACTAGTTGCTCTACATATTAGAATATGATTTCTATGTCAAAGGTTCAAATATCAGGGTTCTATATTCCTGTTTGAGGCGAGTAATCAGTTCCTTCAAATGTAAAGCGCCCATAGAGAGAAAAAGAACTAAACCCTGACGTTAATCATGCAAAGATAAGTAGATCGAGCTAGGTTTGTTCTATGGGGTAAAAAATTATCTATGTATCATTTTATGTTTCTTTTCAGATTTTTCGAACTTTAGAAGAACCTATTTGTTTTAGATATTCTTATATTTTTAAACTGTTAATAGAAAAATTGTTAAAATTCTTTAAATGAAAGATTTTATATAATGGTTCCGAGTCTTTTGTCTTTGGAATAAATGCTCTGTTTCTCACAGATCCGTTCGTCTCGATCCGATCAAATTTTAAAAGAAATTATTTGAAAATATCCAAGTGTTCGCCATATGTACATTATCTAACACTTAATAAATATTTTTATACATAAACTATTATTTTTTAAAAAGATTAAAAGGATTTCACAACTTTTTTTTACAACGAAATGATTTATTGCTTCACTTTTTCATTAATAAGTTGTTAAATTTCATGATGATTTGATAGGTTTTTTTGTTTATTGCAAGGAACATAATATCCATGAAAGGGAAAATGAAAAAAACTAAAAAAACTTGAAAAATAAAAATTCCAATTATTCTAAGAAAAATGTTTAACAAAAAACGCGAAAGCCACGTGAAGATCTTTGAAAAAAACACGTGCATTTTTCTTTTGAAAATAGAAAACCAATTACAAAAATTACTGTTCAATGTATTGTTAAATCGATCATAATAAAATACAGTTAACAGGTCACATTATTCAAAGTATTGAAAGCCTTGCTTAAACAACTACACTAGAACTATAAAAATGCCAAATAACTACATAGAATTTTGCTGATTTTCTCTATTTCTATACACCCGATCTTGATAAAATTTTAGGATTTGATTCGACAAAATATGTTAAAACTGTTTTACCTATTTCGATCTTCAGATTTTTTTCGACTCACCTAAAAAAGACCAACTAATTATTTCAAAGAATAAAAGACACACGTTTGTTTTACTCACCCTGTACCTAGATAGATAGATAGATAGATAGATAGATAGATAGATAGATGGATAGATGGATAGATAGATAGATAGATAGATAGATAAACGCACTGTTAAGTTTAAATTACAATGATTGAACGCAATACTTCTAGCAAGAGCAAGCTAAAATGAAATTGAAAATCAAATTGATCCTAAACATTTATTTTAGGATTAATGCTTTAAGCGTTTTTCTTCCATCAGATACTTGTTCAATTATCTTGAAATAAAAAGGCAAAAGAAGTTAGATACTAAATATCTAAAATAAAACCTTTTTGATTAACCAATCTAAATGAAAACAACCTATAAATTTTACAGCCAAATTTTTTTTTTCAAACTGCTAAAAATCGATCCATGCTTTTTACAGAACTAAAAATTTATCAAGGATAAACATTTTAAAATTATTTTACATAACTAAACGTGAATCACAAAGATGTAGTCTTAAAAGATTATGCAACTGTAAAACAGTATACTGGTAAACTGTGTATATTAACACACACCTGGAGACAATACAACCTAGAAATTGCATTAGATTTGCTCCAGGGTGCAGGGGAACTTGATTTATACAATCAATATCAAGGTTTGTCCCAGGACTGGGAGAAGGGAGCGGGTGATTGGCGATTTATGAAATTAAAAACTCTCAATTTTGTTTTTTCACAAATAATTGATAAATAATTTGAAAAACTTATTTTCAAGAGAATGCTATTTCTCCAGTCCTGACAGTCAAGGTTTGTTTACAAATACCTGATTTAACACAAAAATATGTTTAAAGTTGACTGAGATTCAAACTTAAGACATTACATAATCACGAAACCCGGTATCTGAAACCTGGTACCGACCACTTCTTCTCGAAAAACTCGGTATCATAAACCTGGTACTGAACGCTTATTCTCGAAAATCCTATTGCTGAAAGCCTAAATATGGAAACCTAGTTTTGGAACACGGTCTTAGAAATTTGGTTTCATCACTTGAAAGTTGAATAAAGATTTTTTTGGAAACTTCCTTCAGAGATTTCTTAACGAATTTCACGATTAAGGTTCAGATTTCTTTGCATTTGTACAAATTAAAGACTTTTTGCTATACCACATACATGACATTCAACCTTTTGAGATCTTAAAATCAAAATACATTATGTTCTTGCATTAAGCAACGGTTTATTTTAAAAGCTATTATCAACATGCATCCATTATGTTTTGACTGTATGTAATGAAATTCACACAAAGGAGTTGAGTCGTTGCCACAAACTTGAACATTCCATTCCCTTTATCTTTGCAACCTGACGGTTTAAACCTTTGATATTTCAAACTTAGATTACATAATCTAACAGAGTTTATAGTTTGAAAAATCTAAGTTCTATGACATTGGGTTGCAAAGCTAGAGGTATTAAAATATCAGAGTTTGTGGGGAAAACTCAATTCCTTTTTTTAAAGATTTCAGAAAGTTAAATAAAATGAACTCAGTTTTTCACCCCGGTTTCGTTCGTAAGTTTCCATGTCCGGAAAAGGATTAAGGACGAAGAGAAATAAAAGGGTTTGGTTTCCGTTAAAAGATTAAGGTATATATTTACTCAAGCTCTAGTGTTACACGGATACAGGTCAATAGAAAAACTGTCAAGAAACCCGAGATTCTATAAAATACTGCTTTCCAAAGAAAAACAAGAAAATCTGTGATGATATACGTGAGAAGGGATTGGAAACATGAACTCAAGGAACTCAAACCGCGGGGATCAAAGATTTATAACGTCAATAAAAATTATTCGAATTCAAACTTAGGCGTTTAACAAACTCAAGATTATATTCATTTCATTCATTACTAGTCTTTCATTCTCTTCAATGATAATAAAATAATAAACAATAAAATAATTTATGATCAATAGTGGGTAATAAATAATCTGAGCTATTCATACGTATGTTTCTCAACCCTGCTTCAATACTACTCTCCCTAATGAGAAGCCTAATCGGAGAATTAAAGGAAAAGTTACTGTAAATACTAACCCGAATGAGCAATTATTATCTAGGAAAAGAAACTTAATCTGAAACCTAATCTATTAGATTTATTCATAGAAGATCAATTAACCAGGCTTTATTCTTAGATAATCACCGAATACTATACAACTATACAACATAATCATGTTCTCGACCTAACTCTCATGCAAGTTCGACACACACCTCAGGATTGACTCAAGGCAAGTTCGACACAAACCTCAGGATTGAATCAAGGCAAGTTCGACACAAACCTCAGGATTCACTCAAGTCAAGTTCGACACAAACCTCAGGATTAAATCAAGGCAAGTTCGACACACACCTCAGGATTGACTCAAGGCAAGTTCGACACAAACCTCAGGATTAAATCAAGGCAAGTTCGACACACACCTCAGGATTGAATCAAGGCAAGTTCGACACAAACCTCAGGATTCAATNCTCATGGTCAACTATTAAACTCTCATTGTCAACTTTTAAACTCTCATTGTCAACTTTTAATCTCTCATTGTCAACTATTAAACTCCACATGTCAACTTTTGAACTCTCATTGTCAACTTACTTTCATATTCTTATTTGTGAACTTTTAAACTCTCTTTGTCAACTTTTAAACTCTCATTGTGAACTAATAAACTCTTAGTGTCAACTTTTAAACTCTCATTGTCAACTTTTAAACTCTCATTGTCAACTTTTAAACTCTCATTGTCAACTTTTAAACTCTCATTGTCAACTATTAAACTCTCCATGTCAACTTTTAAACTCTCATTGTCAACTTTTATTCTCTCATTGTCAACTTTTAAACTTTCATTGTCAACTTTAATGCTTTCATTGTAAACTTCTCATCTTTAATTTTTTCTCGACTCTTGTTTTAGAATTTTCATTTTTATTGTTAAATATTTAACTTTTTGATTAAATCTATAAGTCTCCTTAACTGGCATTTTCTGCAAACTCTTGTAGGTCGAAACTTATCTTTTGTCTCCCACTGTTAAACTATTACTGTTGTCACTCGTACTCTTCTTCTTGGCTTACTCTCAAGGTGAATTCCAAACTTCTCGTATTTTAAATATAGGTTCTCTACTGTCAGGGTATCATTGTTTAATTTAAAAATCTTAATTTCGTCTATAGAATCCTACAATGAAATTAAATCTGCATCCCAATGAATTTTATCCTAAAGATGTATATCTGAAAGAAAAATGGCCGATTACTAAGGAAGAAAAACTAAGCCCTAAAATGAATGAACAGGTTGACTAAAGTTCAGCAGTATAAAACTAAAATTAATGAGTGAAACTTTATATCAGTCGTAAAATGTCTAAACTGTTCTTAAACCACCCCTTTGAAGATTTAAGTAACCCTAATATATACTCTAAAATGAATACATTCTGCAAATATTGTTTCATAACAATTTTAATTATCAGAAGCTAAGAAATAAAAAAATGCATTTCTACTCGGATATATATATATATTTCTATGACTAGATTCTATAACAACATTCATTAACATTTAGATTAGATATATTAGATGAAGGACTGGAAAGGATTGGTTTTAAAATGGAGAACATTTAAGGTTTGGAGGGTTAAAATGGAGATAATGGAGGATTGGGGTTGGAAGTCACATTAAATTCACCATCAACTGTTCTTTGGTTAACTTTAGGTTGAGATCTGGGGTTTAGAGTATCAGGATCAGACCAGGTTCAGGTTAGTTCAGGATCTGGATCAAGATCAGGTTCAGTTTCTGGATCGGGATCAAGATCAGGATCAGGATCAGGATCAGGATCAGAATCAGGATCAAGATCAGGATCTAGATCTAGATCAGGATTTAGATGTAAAAATAGTTTTCATAATCATGAAAACCACCAGATTCCGAACTATCCCTGGAGAATAGTGAAGCTAGGCTCGCAGGTTTAGGAGGAAGGGACGGAGCAGGGGCCATGGTTGTGTGTGACAAGGATACAGAGGAGGAGGAGAGGGAGGAGTAGGGACGGGATGGAACCGATTTGTGGGGAAAAGATTCATAATCCGGAGATGGATAAAGGAAGGACATTGTTGGTTTAGGAGCGGATAAATGCTGGTCTGGAGGACGGGAGGAGAAGGGACGTGTGTTGGCGCACAGGGGGGTTGAGGTGAGGGGCGGAGTTGGAGAATCGTTAGAAGATAAACTGGTATCCATATCTTCACCACTGCTTACATGCTCCTCACTATCTTTATCCAGCTCTGGCCAGCTATCCTCTTCATCTCGCTGGATCCTGGAGAAATTCGGAGTCTGCAGGGGTTGAAACCTGCTCAGGGTCTTAGGTGTTGGTTTGTAAATCCGGTGTTTGGAATTATCTCTCTCATCCAAACTTGATAAAGATAATTTTCTCTCTGATATTTGAAGTCGGTTTCCAGCGCTTTTGGTTCTTGCCAACGATCCCCGTTCACTGATCGAGGATAATCGATCGCAGGTTTGGGTTGACCACTCGGAGATCGCTGGATACGATCTTAACCTGGGTTCTCCGTGTACTTTCATCATACTCATCTTATCTCCTAGTTTATCCATCCTCTCTTTATTCCAAACATTGTCCTCGATCCTTAATGGACTCCTTCTTAAAACAAAGCTGAAGGGTGTTGGACCTGGCCAGAGAGCCTGGATACATAAGGGTTTATCCTCACTTCCCAACCTTCTCTCATACCTCTGGGAACTACACTGTTCGTACATGCAGTAACGATCTGATCGTTCAACCTTCTCCAACCCGTAGCAGAACAGAAGAATCTTTATCACATCATCAACAGATGTTTCATCACTGATGAGTAAACATTTATACTGTGACTCCTCCATGAGAATACTATCGTACACCTTGACTAGTCCCCCCTTTCTCATTTGAAGCATGAACCTGCACTCACCCCAGGGGTTGCAGTTCTTTAACTCCGCAGGTTTAGAATCATCTTCGAGAACTAGAGTTTTCTTGGTTAAACCATCACGACCTGGTTTCTGTATAACAACCTCCATGGTGAGGAAGAATAGTTTAGGATCCCTGTGTTTCATCCTAAACTTGGAGAGAAGCTGCCAGATTACGTCCTTGGCTGTAGTTGATATACCAACACTGATGGTTTTATATTCTATATCAGGTCGGAGACATGACGCAAATACTTTAATCGGAGTTTTTGGACCCGTCTCCGCTAAGCTTGTATAACTGGAGGTACGGGATGACAAGGAGATTGGATCCGGTGTTGGACATAGATACAGGGTTCGGTCGAATTGTGCATTACGCACGTTGAAAACCTCTAGGTGGTGGTTCATGTTGAAACTAGAGTTTAAGGACGAGTCGGATGAATCTCCTGTGCTCTGGGTTGTCACATTGGAGTGTAAGCTCACAGAGTCCGGATTTTGGGGGTATTTTCGTTGTAACCTCACTGAACTACTTTGGCAATGTTTTAACATTGTTTGTTGTCTAGACACGGTTCATTTCAAGAAAATTAATTATTTCATTTCTCGCACTAAAGTCTTTAATTTTACTGCTTTTGCATTCTCTGTCTTGTGACCGTTTGATTTGGCGATCTCACGTAGACTGACATTTCTATGATGCGCTGGGTCGCGGGACTCAGTGCTCTCTCGTCCCATTAAACTCCCCGCCTCCTCCTCCCGTCTCCTTACTACCGGATCAACAAGTGATTCTCACCGTTAGTTCTCAGAAACTCCGCTAGGAACGCTCTAGTCAGAGATTTATTCTCGGAGCAAACTTCAGAGACATCTATTATGCATCATTGCAATATCTTAAAAAAACGACGGACAATTCTTTTTAGAACTAGAAAACATGTGAAAGAAAAGTGATGAGGAGAAGTAAAGAATGGGAGGATAAGGGAAGATAAATAGGAAGAGAAGGGAAATAGAAACAGAAAAAAGGGAGAAGGATGAAACGGAAGGGGGAGTTACAACAAAATGTGAAGGGAAAAATAGCAGAAAGAATTAATGAAGAATGAAAGGGAGAAAAGAGACGAATGAGAGGAGTTAAGACAAAAAATAAGTCGGAGATGGAAGTAGAGAATTTGTAGTAAGATGGGCGATAAGAGGAAATGTAGGGATCGATAGATTGGGAAGTTGCAAGGGCGTATACAGGGGGGAGCAAGGGGGCAGTGCCCCCCCTTAATTTCAGAGCTTTCACACTTTTCAAATCTTAAACTCAAGAGTGAAGAACATAAAAAAATTAGTTTGCTGTTCATTCAGTGCACTAAGAAGATTGTATACGTGGATCAGAGCCACCAAGACAGGAGTCCGAATGAAAAATCTATTTAGAATGCACATTAATCCTAATCGGATGGGCGCTATCAGAGATAACAAGTAAAACAATTTTTTTAAATGCCAATGCCAAGGTAGTAAAAGACCATTTTTTTAAAATTTGGATTTAATTTACTTTATTCATTGCACCGCCGTTTTGTAATCTTTCTTTTTATTACAAACTAGCTGAAGTGCAGGCGTTGCACGTGGAATTTTAAAAATCGAATTAAAACAAAAACTTATGATTTATTTGGCTTATGTCATCCCCATCCATAAGTTTCCTCACTAAAATTCAGCACATTTGATTCAGCCGTTTGGCCAGCCATAGCAAACATATAAATGAACGCAGAGCTTTATTATATAATGATTAAAATTGAACTACTACTTTGTTTTAAAACAGAAACTTTTACAAGTCATAATTATTTTCTAGACCTTAGTCCTTTTTTTCATCTCATAGAATTTTAAGTTGAGTTTTTCATTTTTAAAAATGTCTTTACTATCTCTAGTTTAAATACCAATTATTACTAACATAACAGTATAATAAAATGTCAATTTTTTAGAAACAATGCTTTTTTTCTGCTAGTTTTGTTTGAAGGAGAAATAAAGTTTAGTGCATGCAAGGTAATTGAGCTGTATGTGTACCTTTAAAGTATCTTATACTTATGCCTTATATCCAAGAGCAGCCAAATGTTTCGAATTTACAGATCAAATTTTGCTCCCCCCCCCCCCCCNATGGAGAGAAAGGAAGAATGAGATGGAGAGAAAGGAAAAATGAGATGGAGAGAAAGGAAGAATGAGATAGAGAGAAGGGAAGAATGAAATGGAAATAAGAGAAGAATGAGATAGAGAGAAAGGAAGAATGAGAGGGAGATAAGAGAAGAATGAGATAGAGAGAAAGGAAGAATGAGATGGAGAGAAAGGAAGAATGTGATGGAGAGAAAGAAAGAATGAGATGGAGAGAAAGGAAGAATGAGATGGAGAGAAAGGGAGAAATAGAGGGAGAGAAAGAAAGAATAAGAGGCGGAAAAGGAAAGAATAAGAGGCGGAAAAGGAAAGAATGAGAAAGAAGGGAGGAATGAACTTGAGAGAAGGAATGAATGAGAGGAAGAGATGGGTAGAATGAATGAGAGAGAAAGCAAGAATGAATGGGAAAGAATGGATGAATAAGAAGGAGAAAATGAATGAATAATAGGGAGAGAAGGGAAGAATAAGTGGGAGTGAAGGAACGCATATCAGAGAGAAAAGGATATAATGTGAGGAAAAGAAGGGGAGAAGGGGAGAGAGAAAAGGATAGAATGTGAGGGAGAAAAGAATAGAAGGAGAGGGAGAGAAGGGTAGAAGGGGAGGGATAGAAGGAATGAATGAGAGGCAGATAATGGGAGAAGGAGAGAGAGGGATAGAATGATTGGGCGAGAAGGATAGAAGAAGAGAGAGAGAACGAAAGAATGTAAAAAGAGGAGGGTAGAATGGTAGGGAGAGAAGGTTAGAATGAGAGGTGGGAGAAAAACGATGAACGAGAGCAGAAGAAGGGAAGAAGAGAAGGAACGCATGAGAGGAAGAGAAGGAACTAATGAGAGGGAGAGAAGGATAGAATGAGAGGGAGGGAAGGTAATAATAAGGAGAAGAAAAAGGAACTAAGAATGAAGTTAGAGAAAAGTAGGGAGAGACAAGGAAATTTTGGGAGGAAGAGAACGGAATATGTTGAGGGAGAAGGAAGGGAGAAAAGAACGAAAAGAGAATATTGGGAGGAGGAGTAGATAGCTAAGAAGGAAAGAGAAGGATTGATAAAATATAAGAAGAGAATGATATATTAAGATGAGATAAAGAGAAGGAAAAGCGAAGAGTGAGAGAAGAAAAAGAAAAAAGGGAAAGTAGGAAAGATTGTGTAGGAAAGAAGGGAAGAATTAGATGGTAGAAGGGCGTTGAAAAATAGAAGAGAGACCAAAAATTGCTGGAGAAAAGTTTATAGGACTCCCGAAATGTCGTCTTTGTAAAAAAGACGACATTCTATATAATATTTAAGATAACAATTTTAGTTTCAGTTTAAGTTTAGTCATAATTAAATAGTTTTAGGATTTGTTTTGATTTTAAAAATCCCGTGGCCTATTGGTCGTCGAACATATCTGATTCACAACGTTACTCTTGAAATCTTTGTCTGATCAGGTTGGAATATTAGATATCTTTTTTGTTTTAAAAAAACTTCAGTATTTTTTTTGGTGTCTTTGCAAAAGTGACTTCCGCATTTCTTGCTCGAGAAACATTAGGGGAAGTTAAAAGATTTGAACACTTTTCAGGCCACGAAAACAACATTATTTATTCGATTAAGGTTTAAAGGGTGTCTTAAACTTACGACTACTGTCTCTTTAAGTACTAAAACGTATGGTAATTCATTTCAATCGTAATATCTTTTACAAACCTTTTTAGTCGTCTTTTTCTCGTGAAATTAATGTATTCTTAATTGTGAAGAATCCTTTCTGCAGATTTTCTTGAATTATGATTGAAAAGACGACATTTGAAGAATTTGAAGAAATCTGCGAATAAATTCAAAGAAAATAAGAAATTCAATATAATGATGAAAATGAAATAATCGATTTTAGCATTGATTTATTGAGTATTGACAAATTTCTTTTAAGAAATATGTTCCTAACCATTTAATTAGATTACTGTATGATTTTTACTTTATTTTTCGTTGGCGTTATTTAATAATTAATAAAAAAAAAACGTATCATGGAGAACTACGCTGCGAAGGCTCATTAGTCTTCACATTTTAACACAATTTTAGACATCAAAATCAATGTTTTGACGCTTACCGATATCTCTTAATGTATTTTGATTCGGCAAAAGCATTCAAAAGTATCCATGCCTCGAAGAAATATTGATTGTTTGTTAATTTGAAAGGAAGACGACATTTGCGAGGAAATAACTTTTTGTGCGCCCCCCCCTTAAATACTTTAGTTCTGACCGTTCTCTTTACTTAGGAAATGTTGCAACTGATGTATATGTCATTAAAAATGTGCAGGGCTCTTTTTTCAGAATAAGTTTATATGCAAATCACAAAATCATATTGGCGTTTTTTCAGAAATAGTAGAAAACAGAAGACTACGAAAATTTAACTGTTTTCGTGTTTTACTGTAGATACAGGGTGTCCCAAAAAAACACGGGAATTAAATGACGACTTCTACATCGTCCTTGTTCTATGCGAGATCATTTCGTAAACATGATTTTGTAATATCAAAGTTAAAACATTTAACGCAGAAAACTACCAGTCTCGGGATTTCCAAAATGGGGTCTGCCAATTCTTTACCTTCAAAATTGACGGAAATTTTTCCAGATTCCCGTTTTATAAAAATCAACAAAACTCTTCAAATGTGTAATATCTCCGTCATTTAAAGATACGAAAAGGTAGACCAGCATCAACTTCCCATGTCTGACCTAGCCGCAGTATATGGCCTTCAGCCTGTTCTAGCCGCGGCGCTCGGCCCCATATCCATTCCTAGCCGTAGCGCTTGCCCCCCCCCCCGACTGCAGCCTGCGGTGCCTAAGAGAGCCTTACTTACTCTTTGGGAAGTTGCCGCTTGAGAAATTGCCCATTTGGGAAGTTTCCCTTTGGGAAAATGCCCATGGAAAGTTGCCACTTGGGAAAATTCCTTTGGGAAATTACCTAACATCACCGAAAACGGGGAGTAAAAAGTCTGCATAAATTCTGTACAGTCTCATCCTTTGTAGGTAACCCTGTTTGTAGTCATAGAGAACAAGCTCAAATTTATGAAGAAAAGGCGGTATAATTTTGCAACCTCGTAACTCCTCTCTATTTTATTTTATACCCAACAGTGAAAGAGCAAACAATCGATTTATATGTAAGAAGTTGAAACTTATTTAACGCTTTAAAAAAAAGTAAATTTAAAACAAACGTTTTTTTTTCTACAAAAAGAAGAATTCTAATTATGTTGCAAGACTTAAAAAATACAACTTCCATTTTTTTGCATGCTAATCCATTGGGTTGTGTCCCCCAGTGCCCCCCCCCCCTTCCCCCTCTACTTCTATCTCCAATTATCTTACGTTGAAAAATGACAAGGACAGGAAAAACTGGAGTAAAAACACAGTATCCTTCTAGAACATATTGTGAAATATATAATTTACATTTACCATCTTATTTATTTACTCCTACAGCGTGTCCCACTAAACAGGATAAATATGTCGAATAAATGTCGTCTTCTTGAGATGTATTACGGTGTCACTCCTGCATCAGTTCATTTCCCTCTGACAGTTCACCGCCCCTTGCGTGTTTTAACCATTTCAACGCAATGTTAGACATAAAAAGTAATTTTAAAAAAATTCAGATTAATTAGTTGACATAAATAGATGAGCATTTAGTTCTAGAATGAATACATACAGTTTTCAAATTTCAATTGGATCGATAAACTATCGATACTTTCTTGAAAACATTTTGGATTGGCCCCCTCCCACCTTCATGTTTGCCCAACTGTGGAATAGATTGTATGTTAAAGGGACATATATATATTTACATAAATCTGACGTTTTAGACCTTTTTACTCTTTCTGTTGTCGTTTTATCTTTTTTACTGAAGATAACTCCCTTGCTTTTAAGCCCCCCCGCCCCGTACCATTCTTCCACTTTAATTTTTTGCTACTTATGTATAGTAATACACGTCCTTGTTTGAAAGACAAATTGTAGAATAATAGAGCAATTTGTAACCATTACATTCGGTCCATACTTACATACACACATTACACAAACATTCATTTTCTCACCAATGCACATACGCGCCTTTTCTCAAGGCAATTTTTCAATACAATACACATACATAAAAAAGCGTATCTTCTTTATTATGTTAACTACAATTTTTATTTGTTTTTATAAATAAATTTCTCCTGATTCTTAATGCTTTTTATCATGGTCTGTAACATTCTCCGGGTCCGCTGATTCATGTAAATCCACGGATTCATGTACAACAGCTGATTCATGTACAACAGCTGATTCCTGCAATTCCAGAACATCATCAGCTGATTCTTCAACTATGATCTCCTTACTGAAACTAAAACACAAAACTATCTTCAATGGATACAATTTTAAAAATTGTTCTGTAACTTGAGTTTTTCAGTTTTTTATATGGTGAAATATAATGATTTTTATCCTTTAAAGCGTGACGCAAAGATAAAATTATAATGTAAAGAAACTATCATAAATTTTCCCACGAAATTCTAGGTTATTTGGATTTAATACAATCTCATTTATTTGTTTTATTGTTAAAGATATTGATACAGATTATTATTTTTAGTGATATTACTTTTTTATTATTTATATGAATCAATTCCAATATTCACTTATTCATCCTTATTCAGCTATTCGTCCTATTTTCTTGTTGAATAAATTTATTTTGTTTATTCAATAATTCTTCGATGGTTTAATTCATAAATTCCTTAATTTATTATTTCAGTAATTTATCATTTCATTAATTGATTATTTCAATAATTTATTCATTACGGATTTATGTGTCTATTTATTAATTAAGTTTATATTTCACGCTAAATTCATAAATTAATCAATTCATAAGTTGATTTGCCTATACATTAATTATTTCGTTAGTTCTTTAGTTCATTAGTTCATTAATTCATTGATTCATTAATTTATTAGTTCATTAGTTCAAAAGTTCAATAATTAGTGAACTCATTAATTCATTAATTCATTAATTTATTAGTTCATTAGTTCAATAGTTCAATAATTATTGAACTCATTAATTCACTAATTCATTAGTTCCATAGTTCAATGATTAGTTAACTCATTAACTCATTAATTCATAAATTCATTAATTCATTTGTTCAATAGTTCAATAATTAGTTAACTCATTAATTCATTATTTCGTTAGTTTATTAGATCATTAGTTCAATTGTTCAATAATTAGTTAACTCATTAACTCATTAATTCTTTAATTCATTAATTCATTAGTTCAATAGTTCAATAACTAGTTAACTCGTTAATCTTTAAATCATTTGATCTTGATGCATTAACAATTTAACTTATCTATTGATTAACAAATATATTTATTAATTCATGAATTCTTCATCATTTTAATTTGTTCTATTTAAGGTATTGTCGTCATTTCGAGTGACATGTTCGATTTACAATGGTACCCTAAAAGTTCATGTCTGATTTAAAATATATGTAATATCAATCATATTACCATATTCTCTCTAGAAGGGGCTAATTCCTTCGGTGTTTTGTCCCGTTTAACTTTATATAGTCTGCAAGTGTAATCTAAAAATTGCTCTATCTGCTTAAAAGTCGATCCGGTACTTGGAATAAACCGGAATTTACTGTGATATTCTGTTTGAAAATTGATTTTTTAAAATTGTAGATTTTCTTTTAAAGTTTTGCGCATTTCTGCTTCGTAGATAATTAAGTAAATTGTTCTTAAGCTAGAAAAACGCAGATATCTTCTACATTATTGATCAGATAAAGGTTTAAAGGGTACCGTTGTGAATGATAGGTCACTTAAAATTGCAAGGACACAGTCAATTTATCAGATTTAATAAAATAAGCTTGGTTTAGTGTTTAGTCCCTTTATCAGATTTAATAAAATAAGCTGATTTAGTGTTCAGTCCCTTTATCAGATTTAATAAAATAAGCTGGTTTAGTGTTCAGTCCCTTTATCAGATTTAATAAAATAAGCTGATTTAGTGTTCAGTCCCTTTATCAGATTTAATAAAATAAGCTGGTTTAGTGTTCAGTCCCTTTATCAGATTTAATAAAATAAGCTGGTTTAGTGTTCCTGATGTTGGAGTTGAGATCAACTACTGTAGATTCACTTTGCTTTCTTCTTAATCTTCTACTCAACCCTCCTCTCCTACATCACAGTCATCGTAGTATGTATCAATAAAAGGAAGACGACTTTCGATTTAAGTTTAGATTTCTACCAAGCTTTCCAACAGCATGGATACACATAAACATGGAAACACATAGAAGTTGTCAATTTTATACCTTTTTACCTTTGTTTACGTAAACATATAATTTAGAAAAAGCTCGTCAGGAATTCAAAACTTAAATCTAAAAGTCGTTTTAATCTTATTGATATAAACGCCGACCATCCTATACGATTCACAATACAAAAAAATTAAATATAGCTTTGATAAAAAGATTTCAGTGGTTTCCAAAAAATGCTATTTGAATTTAAAAGGTACTCCTAGAAAGCTTTAAGAACAGGTTTTATACTACCTCTGCATATATCTCAGCATTATAATGATATTCTTTATTTTGCAACTTTCAAATACGTTATTGTCCTTTCAACTGTGTACAGATAAGAATATACTTGTTTCTTGTCCCTGGTTTAATTATGACCCGGAGAAGACGGATCTGTGTGGAACCCTGAGATCGGATCAGAAACCGCCCCCGGGAGAAGGTTTAAATCTGGTATTTATTTTACCCTGTTATTTATGTGAGGTTTAGGATTTATGATCTTTGGTGAATAGTTTAAATATTGGTTTAACTTTTTACACAACATACTTAGTTTCTGGTTGAGATGGGGTATATATATATATATATATATATATATATATATATATATATATATATATAATCTTGGTATGTATTCAATTTATGTACTACAGGGCTTTTCATAATAAGTTGAATTTTTTATTTTAACCTTGATTTTCCCTTAAAACATATAATGCACCTTAAATTATAAAAAGTGTTCAAAACATCTAAAACATAATCTTAATCATGTGGTAAAAAAAATTAACTTAACACCCCCCCCCCCACTTCATTCTCATTTTTTAAATGTAAACTAACTGCGTATAGCAATATAGAAACTGTATAGTAATATAAAATATGTTATGATTTTTGAAATTGTAATAATGTAAAAGAATGGCGGCTGAAAATCAACACTTAAAAAGTTAAAAGTAAATACTTACTGGTGAGCCTTGTAATTTAAACCTCCGCAAACCTTAATCTTTGTTTATACTTTTAAGGATCAAAGTTAATTTAAAGGAAAGGGTAAAATTTCTCTGCAGAAGTACCTGTAACTGGCGGATGTCCCGGAGTAATAGGACGTATCCTGTACCTGGTGGAGGTCCTGGAGTGATAGGACGTATCCTCAACGTTCTTCATCTTTCTGGTCAAATATTCTAGAGTTTTCTTCCGAACCTGTTCGTTTAGCACAACATGCATCAGGAATATTATTAAGCCTAAAAAAAACCGTGTTTTTATTTAGTGGGACCCATAAACTTCTGGAACAGGGAGACGGACTTTTAGCTCTATTTATAATAATATTCAGTTCACTTAAAGAAGTTCCACAACACTGCATACTCAGTTCAACTACCTTACATAGCCGGTCTGTCCCTTTAACTATATACCTCATTTGACCGATTTCACTTAATTTGTTTATTTTCAAGTTACTGATAAAATGTTTTGCTTCATAACATCAACATTTTCAAATACACATAAAATTGCTTAAATGTCGTCTTTCTATTCCACATTGTTATGGGTTTCACTTTAACTTCAGTGAGAGAGTTCACGCAGAAATTTACCTCCTCCAGAAAGATGGCAACCTACGGCCACGGTTTGTTAAAAAAATACAATCTTTGGCAGAAAATACTCTAGAAATCAATCACTTACAATATTCTTTAAAATTACTTAAGAAAATTACCAGAAAATTGATTAATTTTGCGAAAGCTTTTCTAGAAAGCGAGTTTTTTCTCACCAAATGACAATTAAAAAAATTGCAATTTAAAATTACTAAGACAGTCCCTTGTTCAGGTTTATTTCAACTATAACCAAGTTGATCTGAAGTTGTGTATCTGCATTCAGATACAGTATATATGTAATATGGTTTATACTATAGTTTATACTCTAGTTTATACTATACCTTGCAATGAGTTCAGTAAAGTGAATAAAACTGCCATCCATTCCATTCCCTAGAATATTATAAACTATATTTAGTAGAGTCCATTCCATTCCCTAGAATATTAATTATTATAAACTATATTTAGTAGAGTCAATTCCATTCCCTAGAATAATATAAACTACTAGCGTTGCCTGTGGAATTTAGACGAAAAAAATTTCAATTTTTTTAAGCCTATGTTACCCCAAGGGTAGTCATGAGTTTCCTGTAAAAATGTCAGCCAATTTGGTCAAGCCGTTTGTCCCGCTATAGCTAACATATTATATATATATACGAAAAAATTTCAAATCAAGTTTAAATACTTATTTTCGTATATTTATTTATATATATTAGATTCAAAGAATTTGAAAAAAGGATACCTGATAGGAGTAAAGGATACCTGATAGGAATAAAGGATACCTGATAGGAATAAAGGATACCTAATAGGAATAAAGGATACCTGATAGGAGTAAAGGATACCTGATAGGAGTGAAAGATACCTGATATGAATAAAGGATACCTGATAGGATAATAAGGATACCTGATAGGAATAAAGGATACATGATAGGAATAAAGTATACCTGATAGGAATAAAGTATACCTGATAGTAATAAAGTATAAATGATAGGAATAAAGAATACCTGATAGGAATAAAGGATACTTGATAGGAATAAAGGATACCTGATAGGTATAAAGAAAGCCGAATATCCATGAAAGGCCCAGGATGGATATCAAGGATGTCGATCCCTTCATCCAGGTAAGAAACCTGAAATTTGGTTTAATGGATAATCAAGGTTTAATGTAACTGATATCTATGCAGTTAAATTAACTTTCGATGTAAATATAATGACCCTTCAAAGAGTTGCATACGGAAAAATTGATGGCGTGATCCTTATTTTTCTATCTGAAAATTGATAATTGTCAATTGTGGGGTCACTACAACAGTGACAAACGAATTTAAGCAGCTGAAACAAGGATGGCAATTGAAAACAGTTATGTTGGTTAAAAACGACAATATCTTGCTCATTCTGACCAGGACACGCAACCCTTAAAATGTTGGGTTATCTCAACTTTGCATTTTATGTTGTTGTTATTGTTGTTGTTGTTGTTGTTGTTGTTGTTGTTGTTGTTGTTATTTTTATTGTTTGTATTTTTAACAAATCTTTTAAGTTGTTGACATTCACTATCATAAAAATTAGATATGTTATAAAAAAGTAACCTGGCTTTTTGGTCCAAATTTTTGTGCCTTTTTAGAGCCTTCCTGGATACCAACATTGCACGACTTTAAAAACAAGGTACATTTGAATTCATATAACCGTAGAGCTGTAAACTTATACAATCAAAAGTTAATAATTTATGTTTTTCTAAGGTATTATAAAAGACAAATTTTGGAGAGAAAACATTGTGATGGTAAATAGTCAAGACATATTGTTAAAGCTTAAACAAACATTTTAGATTAATTGTCAATCAGGAGACGGGTATTTATCCAACTAATACAATTCCATAATCAAATTCCGAGCTCTGAGTCCTAGATCTAAACATCAAATCAGGCATGAATTGATATAATCTAATTCCTTTATATTTTCAACCTGAGCTGAATTTCTTAAGCTGAGTATCCAATGAACACACTTTTGATTTTCTTCTTAAGCCGTTCTTTCTTGGATATAGTAGAGAAAAATCAAAACCGGTTTTTTTAAATTAGGTTTCTGTATATAATCTTAAATGACGCGCAAAATTTCAAATTTATCGGCTTCATATACGCGACTCTGATTGGTTGAATTGTATACACTTTTCAGGATACAAGATTATGGTTAGTTCCGATGTTAAGAAATGAGAGGATCAAGCATTAATCTCGATATCCACCATTCAAAAGTTTTCAGCTCTGATGATGATGTAAACCTTTGATATTTTAAACTTAGATTATTTGATCTAACAGAAAAGATAGTTTGAAATATCTACGATTTTGGGTTGCAAAGATTTAAAAACATCAGAGTTGTGTCAAAGGCTCAATTCTTTTTTAGAGCTGGATGCCAGTGAATTGCAAGTGAATAGATTTCATTAAATGAAAATTATCAATTTTTATCTATTTGGTTTAAAGATTAAATATTGTAAATTAGATGATATTTATATAATTTTATATATTTTTATACCTGAATATAAGAAGATTAGTACAAAGAACCGCCGCTACTGGAGCTCCAAACGCCCAGATGAATCCATGTTCATGGTTCAACCAACAAAACGACTCACCACCATATCCCTGTACATAAAAGTTAAAATTAAAATATAAAAAAATTAAGAAAAAAAATATGTTCAAGTTCTGATTTCCTCGACTATGATTTTCTAATCTTTTTATCTTTACAACTTGATGGTGTAAACCTTAATATTTCGAACCTATAGACTACTTGATCTTACAAACTTTATAGTTTGAAATATCAAAATCAAAGATAGAAATAAGAAAATCAGAGTTTGCGGAAAAAACTAAATTCTATTGTTAAAAATTAAAGTTTAATACCTGTAGATCTAGAAGATAGCTGCAGAGGATTGAAACGGTAACTATAAGAACAGGGATACCGTATCCCAACCCACAGTAAGCTCCAATACCTTAGAGAAAAGATTCTAATCATACTATTGTCCTATTGTACAATTTGCATATACGTACATTTTATAGATTTTTGTACATCTCAGTTTTAAACAATTTCAATCTTTCAAACTTATGTAATCTCCACTATCCATATATATCTGTTTGTCTGTTTGTTTGTATCTGTATAATCTGTCTTATCTGTATAATCTGTCATATCTGTATAATCTGTCTTATCTGTACAATCTGTCATATCTTTATACACTGTCCTATCTGTATAAACTGTCCTATCTGTATATTTTTCTATCCCTTAATCTGTCCTATCTGTATAATCTGTCCTATCTGTATAATCTGTCTTATCTGTACAATCTGTCATATCTCTATAAACTGTCCTATCTGCATAATCTGTCCTATCTGCATAATCTGTCCTATCTGCATAATCTGTCCTATCTGTATAAACTGTCCTATCTGTATATTTTTTCCTATCCCTTAATCTGTCCTATCTACATAATCTATGATATCTGTATAATCTATGATATCTGTATAATCTGTCCTACTACCTATCTGTCTGCTCTGGAAGACATCTACCAATAAACTGTAAACATGCCAACCCTCAACCAACATCCAGCAAAATGAACTAAAAAATAAAAAAATATTTTTAAACCTAAAAATTATCCTACAAACACTTTAATGACAACCTAAACCATAAAAATGTTGAATGCGGTATTATTCCTTGAATATTGCAAAGAATGGTATTCCATTGAAACCTTTTTTTCCGCAGGGTTAAAGTTCTCCGTCTCTTAATTCTCATACGTTGGATATCATACTTAAATTACATTATAGCAATTCCATTTTAAATTTTTTCTTACGGAATATTTGGTTTTTACCTTTTAATATTAAAAACTTAATTTACAAAACGTCTTACGGCGCAAAAGTCCTGTATCCCCCCTCCCCAAAAGTCCTGTATAAAACAATGAATTTATGTAATTGTTGTGTCCGTATCAATCAAAATGTTGGTTAGAATCCAGCAAAAACCTGTCATACCCTGGTCCAAAGGTGTCAATCATGTGCTGGATATAATCAGACCAAGGATGGATCATGATTGATTTATTAACAAAATTTCAACATTTCAACAGGATTCATTATTTATCCATTTATAAATAATATTTTCCCCTAAAACAAAGATTCTTCCTTCCCCCTTTACAGCGAAGTTTCTTCCTTACTTCTTAAAGTGTTTTTTTTTCAAATCCCTTTCTCCCTGGCCCCCTGAAACTTTATCTCCATACATACGAAGAAGTTTATGTATAATACCCCTTTAAAATAATTTTTTATATTCCCCTCTTTTAAAGTTAAGTTTCGCTTTACCCATTGAAGGTCAATTTAATTCTCTAAACCCATTGAAGTTAAGTTTCTGTGTTCTCTTTAAAGAGAAGTTTCTCTATACCCCTTTAAAGTGAAGTTTCTCTACACCCCTTTAAAGTGAAGTTTCTCTATTCCCCTTTAAAGTGAAGTTTCTCTATACCCCTTTAAAGTGAAGTTTCTCTATTCCTCTTTAAAGTGAAGTTTCTCTATACCCCTTTACAGAGAAGTTTCTCTATACCCCTTTAAAGTGAAGTTTCTTTATACCACTTTAAAGTGAAGTTTCTCTGTACCCCTTAAAAGTGAAGTTTCTCTATACCCCTTTAAAGTGAAGTTTCTACTTTCTCTATACCCCTTTAAAATCTAGTTTCTCTATACCCCTTAAAAGTGAAGTTTCTCTATACTCATTTAAAGAGAAGTTTCTCTATACCATTTAAAGTGAAGTTTCTGCATACTCTTTAAAGTGAATTTTCTGTATCCTCTACTAAGTAAAATTACAAATTCTGTATCTAGGATATCCGTTTTAAACAAGTTATCCTGTTCTGAAAATAAAAACACGTCTTAACGTGAAGAAAACACGGGCTGACCTAACGAACACGAGCTGACCTGAAGAAAACACGTGCTAACCCGAAGAAAACACGAGCTAACCTGAAGAAAACACGTGCTAACCTGAAGAAAACACGTGCTAATCTGAAGAAAACACGAGCTAACCTGAAGAAAACACGTGCTAACCTGAAGAAAACACGAGATAACCTGAAGAAAACACGTGCTAACCTGAAGAAAACAATAGCTAACCTGAAGAAAACACGTGCTAACCTGAAGAAAATACGTGCTAACCTGGAGAAAACACGTGTTAACGTGAAGAAAACACTTGCTAACCAGAAGAAAACTCGTGCTAACCTAAATAAAACACGTGCTGACCTGAATAAACACGTGCTACCCGGAAAAACTCGTTTTAAACTAAATAAAACACGTGCTGACCTGAATAAACACGTGCTAACCTGAAGAAAACACGTGCTAACCTGAAGAAAACACGTGCTAACCTGAAGGAATCTCGTGCTGACCTGAAGAAAACACGTGCTAACCTAAATAAAACACGTACTGACCTTAATGAATCACATGCTGACCTGAATAGCTGTGAGGGTGAGGGTATGCGCTAGAAGGAGAGAAAGACAAAGATTCACGTGTATTGAGTTTCGAACACTTCTGCAGAAATATCCAGAATATAAATTTATAAATTCATCGTGTTTACTGTTCAAACTGAAAATTATTTTAAAAATTTGAAAATATTATGAAAATAATTTGAGACTCATAACAGATTTTAAGTTAAAATTTTATCAAAAATGGGAGATTTTTTTATTTTAAGTGTTTATATTTTACATTTACTTAATTATCGTTATTACAAAAAAAAACAATTTTGATTTTAATTTTCTTATTTATAATCTTTATGAGTGTACGTTGGGCTGTGGAAAACTACAAAGGATGTTCTAAAAAATGTTATTTTACTTCACAGACAGGTTTTTATATAATGCACAGGCTTTTATATAATGCAACCAACTTGTCTCATCCTTTGTGGGTAACCCTGCACATACGCAATTTGTGAAAGAAAATTTTTGGAAATTTAGTTGTTCAAAAAAATTGACTTTGAGATGGCTAAGAACAAATATATGCAAAGCATCTATAGTTTTCCACGTAAATATATAACTTTATCCCGTAAATATACATAGTGATAAAAAAATATTTGAGAGCATAGATAGCTATATAATATATATATATACATTTAAAACAATTACAGCTGACCTTTAATATATTGTTTTCAGATTTTTAAAGAATTTATATAATTGAATCTTTTCCAAGAATAGATTAGTTCTCAAGGTTTCCTGCTTTAACCCGCTCTACACTGAAAATATATACAGATATATGCACTAGGCTATATATATATATACTTTGTATTTCTGTCTGTTTGTTTGTCTGAACCGATCGGGCCAAAATTTTGTGTGGGACCTCACAAGACCCTAGGGAAGGTTTATGAATGATCAAAATTTCAAAAATATAGCTTCCAACAAAATTCAAGTTTCATTAAACTGTAAAAATCCACGAATTTTTTTTATTAAATCAGATAACTTTTTGTTTGTTTTTGTTTTACAATGTATTCAAAGGAAAAATATTCAACTGAAATATAAGAAAGGCGCGAAGCGCCCTGATAACCTAGTGCTATATATATATTTGTATTACGCTAGGAACAGGACCGTAGCTAGGGGGGTTAAGCGGACAAGAGCCCCTCTCTCCCACACTTGTTCAAATTTAATATTTACCTTTAGTTTTTAATGCATCATTTTCATAAATAAAATATCTGTTTTAATTCTTGCATTTCTCGTTGAATATAAGGATTGGTCGGATTTTGTTATGCTAGAGAATCAGTTAAAATCAGAATAACAAATATGAAAACCAAAGATTTTAAAAAACTTGGTCGAAAGCTAAAGTTCACGTTAATTTTCTATGGCAAGATATTTTTAAGATTCTATCAAAACTATCAAGATATTTTTTAAAATACTATTAAAATACGTTGTCGGAACTTAACATTTCGCCGTGATTGAACATGTTTTACGGCAAAGTAAATTATTTTTAAATTAACTAAAACACATTGATAAACCTATCCTAAATCTCTAGAATCCTTTTAATTCATTTACAAGTTAAAAATACTGAAATGAATATTAAAGGTTTAAGGTTTAAATATTGTTGTATTCAGGATATTCCCTGAGTCCAGAGATACAAATATACTAGGTTTATAGTTTAAATATTCTTGCATCCAGGATATTCCCTGAGTCCAGGGATACAAATATACTAGGTTTAAGGTTTAAATATTGTTGTATTCAGGATAGTCTCTGAGTCCAGAGGTACAAATATACTAGGTTTATAGTTTAAATATTGCTGTATCCAGGATATTCCCTGAGTCCAGGGATACAAATATACTGGGGTTATAGTTTAAATATTGCTGTATCCAGGATATTCCCTGAATCCAGGGATACAAATATACTAGGTTTAAGGTTTAAATAATGTTGTATCCAGGATATACCCTGAGTCCAGGGATACAAATATACTAGGTTTAAGGTTTAAATATTGTTGTATTCAGGATAGTCTCTGAGTCCAGAGATACAAATATACTGGGTTTATAGTTTAAATATGGTTGTATCCAGGATATTTCCTGAGTCCGGGGATACAAATATACTAGGTTTAAAGTTTAAATATTCTTGTATCCAGGATATTCCCTGAGTCCAGGGATACAAATATACTAGGTTTAAAGTTTAAATATTGTTGTATTCAGGATAGTCTCTGAGTCCAGAGATACAAATATACTAGGTTTAAGGTTTAAATATTGTTGTATCCAGGATATTCCCTGAGTCCGGGGATACAAATGAAGATGATGAGAGAGAGAACGAGACCAAGGAGAGAGAGAGGAAGACATATCAAAGAGATCATGCTCAATGCTGGCTCAAGCTCACTAAATAGATTAAGATTATGCTCAATACTGGATCAAGCTCACTAAATAGATTATGATCATGCTCAATACTGGATCAAGTTCACTTAATAGATTAAGATTATGCTCAATACTGGATCAAGCTCACTAAATAGATTTAGATTATGCTCAATACTGGTTCAAGCTCATTAAATAGATTATGATCATGCTCAATACTGGATCAAGGTCACTAAATAGATTAAAATTATGCTCAATACTGGCTCCAGTTCACTGGATAGATTAAAATTATGCTCAATACTGGCTCCAGTTCACTGGATAGATTAAATTATGCTCAATAAAGGTTCACTATATCACTAATAAATTATAATTACGATCAAAACTAGCTCAAGCTCATTAAAACTCTTATGATTATGCCAAATCAATATTTAAATGCTGAAAACTGGCTAAAACTTGCTATACAAATATATATATATATATTTATTTGTATAGCGAGTACTATGTATATATATTTATATATGAATTGAACTCAAATCAAACTCAAGGTTCAATACTAGCTAAAGCTCTTAATCTATTTGATTTTAAAGTTTTGTGCATTATATTTTTATCCCTTGTCTTAAAATATTCAAAAACTATCCTTATCAAATTAAACCAAGATGTAGTAATTCAAATGACCTATTTTGAATGATACGGAGTATTGATTGCTGACCTTTTCTCAAGAAAACTGACTTATTCTCAAGAAAACTAACCTATTCAATAAAACTAACCCATTCAAGAAAACTAACCTTTTCTCAAGAAAACTGACTTATTCTCAAGAAAACTAACCTATTCAATAAAACTAACCCATTCAAGAAAACTAACCTATTCTCAAGAAAACTGACTTATTCTCAAGAAAACTAACCTATTCAATAAAACTAACCTATTCAAGAAAACTAACCTATTCTCAAGAAAACTAACCTATTCTGAAGAAAACTAACCTTTTCTCAAGAAAACTAACCTATTCTCAAGAAAACTAACCTATTCTCAAGAAAACTAACCTATTGTCAAGAAAAAATACCTATTTTCAAGAAAACTGATCTACAATGTATTCAAAGGAAAAATATTCA